ACTAAACTTTATATATTCTAAATAAACTTACAAAGATGTTTGGAATGTAGCAAAATTGGGTTTTGAGTTACAACATGTAGTCTGATGAAAATAAAAATGTCCTTATAAAAGGGCAATATTTTTTTTTGAAAAAGTTGTTCACATATACCATGTTACATCTTAAACAATAAAATGCATCTTCTCTTTCAGTTGTACCTCTTCTTCATCTTGTGCTTTCTCCACTGCTTCACTTTGCACCCTGTCATCCACTTTCTCTCCTGTCCAGACTCCAGACCTCCCAGGTCTCCTTAAGTGACGTGCAAACCTGTTTTGGTCTGAAACTTTCAATTAATTGTGGCCCAAAAGCAAAGATGGTGCCCAGTCAGGATGTGTGTCAAACATTTCATACGCTGGCTATCCTATACACATAGAAATTTTATATGTTATACATGCTGATGGAAACCTTTACATCATTTCAGCAGTATCTCATGCTGACAGAAGACCCTAACAAAAATGAACCATGGTTTTACCACAATTAAAATATGTCAGTGCCATTGGTTTTTCTCAAGATGCACAGCAGTTTGGTGTTTTTTTTATTTTTATAAAAGCTGCTTACATATCCTAATTTTAACTAAGGGTTACTCCTGGCTTAAGCTAAGCCCTGTCTGTGAAACAGGACCAAAAAGTTCGTACTTCATAACGTCATAAGACCTGGTTTTTGAGGAAATTTCAAAACAAAATGTAGAGAGAGTGGTAGAGAACGCGTTAAACTCGGAGCGCTCTTGCGGCTGTCTTGACTGATCCGCCAGTGGAAGCGACAATCAGCTGGCAGTTGGGATCACGGCCATTTGGGCACTTTATTTGTAATAAGCCTCTATAAAATGTCGACAAATTAAAAGACTAGACCCATAAGAATATATTAATAATCATAAAATAATATATTTCCTTGTAGAGAGAGTGGTAGAGAACGCGTTAAACTCGGAGCGCTCTTGCGGCTGTCTGACTGAGCCGCCAGTGGAAGCGACAATAACCAAACCAGTTGGGATCACGGTCAGTTAAACACTTTAATCACGCTAAAATCCTCTAAAACATCAATCATGTAAAAGTAAAGAACTGAACAGGTTCACAATAAGAAATTGCACAAAACACAAAATCTGCCGAAAATTTATGGTTGCTGAAACTTGTTAAGGCATACTGCCAGCTGCCAGCCAGCCAGCCACCGACAGGTCACGTGACCTGCCACTGGCAGCTGCCAGCCAGTTGAAGATTGAACCCCTACTGGGTTTTGTTTAACTTGAGTCACCATTTACTCTCATTGCATGTTTTCCCATATGGTGAAATGGTGACACACAATGTCTACTGACTTAATACACTTCGTTTTTGTGAAAGAGAGAGTCACGCAGGGTTGAAACAACATGAGGGTGATGAACTAATTGCTGGACAATATTTTGTAGACTTAAAGTGAAAATGTATTTTTTTTATCAATTGAATGGTGGTAACCAAACAGTTGACGGTAGCCACTGACTTCCATATAATAATAATAATAATAATAATAATAATAATAATAAATTCATTACATTTTTTAGAGCTTTTCTAGGCACTCAAAGCGCTTTACATTGTGAGGGGGGATCTCCTCATCCACCACCAGTGTGCAGCATCCACCTGGATGATGCGACGGCAGTCATAGTGCGCCAGAACACCCACCCACCACACCCGCTTATTGGTGGAGAGGAGACAGAGTGATGAAGCCAGTCATTATATGGGGATGATTAGGAGGCCATGATAGTCAGAGGGCAATGGGCAAATTTGACCAGGATGCCGAGGTCACACCTTTTTTCGAAAGACATCCTGGGATTTTTTATTACTAAAAAAATACTATGGAAGTCAATGGTTACAGTCAACTGTTTGGTTACCAACATTCTTCAAAATATCTCCTTTTGTGTTCAACAGACAAAAGAAACTCATATAGGTTTGGAACAAGTGGAGGGTGAGTAAATGATTTTTGGGTGAACCATCCCAAGCAATATTACAATATATCTGTACATTCATTTAAACAATTTAATATTTTTTTCCTCTATATTTCTATTTCTGTATATAGCCCATTATTTATTTTTCTTATATTAGTGTTATTTCATCTTTACTGTGTAATTCTATTTCTGCACTATCATGTATGCTCGCATTATGTGTGTACTTTCTTCTGCACTGGAAGCTCCTGTCGCCAAGTCAAATTCCTTGTGTGTGTAAACATACTTGGTAATAAAGCTCCTTCTGCTTCTGATTCATTCAGATAATAGAGACAACTGAATTCTCATTATATCCGCATAGTGTGTAAAAAGAATAATACAGATAATAGGACTACATTATAATAAGATCATAAGACTAAAGCAGTGCCAGAAGATGATGTGTCTCTGGCCAGTAATTTTACTTCGGTTATTTAATTATTTATTTTGAACACTAACTGGGATAACATGTTTCTTGTTTACTGTCAAGTCATTAAAACGTTGCTATAGTTATAACAAGTGTTAACCATCAGGTGTGTATACACACAAGAAACAGCAATACTTTCACAGCTTACTTTCATTACTTTGTGTATTCAGACAGAAAAATCACGATGCTTTATTATATTCCAGTTCATATTTACTTAAATCATTTTGTAATTTCTGTCTCCTAAGCATGTTTTTTTTTTAGCTCTGTATTATTAAAGGATATTATAAAGTGCTGGCAAACAGATGTGTGGTTTTGGCATGTCACTCAGATTGCAACACTGTCTGTCACTTGCTTTCTCAAGACGGCATAGTGGTTTACTGGACACCCAAATGTAAGCATGCACGTTCCACTAGAAAGGATCGTTTCTCAGACAAATGAGCGTTCAGCGGTGTTCCCATAGAAACCAGTCATCAAACACCTCAGTGCTTTCACCAGAGACTTAATACTGGGCTTTGTTGTTGCTGTTCTTATGTGATCAGGACAAATGTGTGAGATTCCAGAACAATGAATGCCGTCTGTTTTTAGCATTGATTAAACACAGTATATTCAACTGCTTAGATGCAATTTAATCAATTTCCAAAGTATGAAATCATATTTTTCCTGTATTCTTACATATTTTCCAAAGACCTCCTATTGTAACCAAGTTCCTAGATTATATATTTTTGCAGTACATTGCAATAAATAATGGAAAGAACTCATTTGAGGACACTGGTGGTGGTAAACAGCAAGTATTTAATTGAAATTAAATTAAAAAGTATAAGTACCATATCTATTGCGTCATAATAACAGGTATAGGGGTTATTTATGGGGGAGGGGTTCATGTAATTGTTTTTCAACACAAATATACAATGAACATTCAGCTACCACAGTTTTGCACACTAGATACTGTAGTAATGCAGTCTATCACAAGACCACCAAACAGGGACAATCCGAGTGCATCTCATCTGTTCTGGGATCAGTCCTCAACATCCATACATAAGAGTATAAAAGTCAACCCAGAGTTGTGGGACACTCTATATATCCACCTAAAACTGTACACAAAACCTTCAGGGTCGACTCGTTAGATAATGCCATAAAAATGAGCCAAAGAAAGAGAAAACAAATAAAACATAATGCCAAAACATGTACAATACACTGACACAGAAAGTCAGCTGTGTTAGACATGCAACAAGTAACAAAACTTGCTGAAAAATTCCAAAAAAAATCATAATCATAAAAAAGGAAACCTTATAACTGCATAAATACTTCGTACAGTCTCACATCTCACTGTAAAGTAATGCACCCTTTCAAAAGTATAGCGCACAACATAAAAATGCATCTGATAAAACAGTGATTACTCCATTTCTTTGTCTTGTCTACATGTCAAGGTGCAAAAAGAATTTCAGATTGATATAGCCATTTGATCTTTGAGCTGCTTGTCGACAGCAAAATCCCAACAGCTTTACGATGTTATGATTGCACACTGAATTACAGTACATTAATATAGAATAATTCAACTATAACGAGTGCATATTAGGCTGTACGGAAATCATACAACAGTGAATAAAACAACTGCAATGGTAACACATTTTTCATCTTTTTAAAGTTGTGTCAGACCATTTAAAGAAAGAAAGAGAAAGAAATTCTCTCTATTAATCAAAGCAGCATTTTTAATAGGGTATTGCCCACAGTATCAAAAAAAAGATGAAAACAAACTTTCTTTCATAGTTTTGTCTAAGGTAAAGAGAAACTAGGCTTCCAGTCCATTAAAAGTGTTAAATCCCTTTTTCTTTACACACAATAACGTTCAAGCTAGTCTTTTGTGAAATGTGTGAAAACATCACTAACTATTGCTTTCATAATCTACCGACATTCACACTGGTGCAACATCGCAAATGGTTAAAAATGGTGAGGTTTTAAGAATAAGAAATGTATGCTTTTACTAAAAACAAAAAATGTTAAAGCTAGTGTCAGAGTAACATTTAAGTTGTCTAATTCATATGAGCTAATAACAAATGAAGTATCACATTAAGGACAGTCAGAGAAGTCCCACACTAATGCAAAATGTACAGATTCAAAACATCCAATATAAACTAAGCAGGAACTCTGACACTTCAGAAACATGTTTCATAATACAGTCTTTCAATTGACTTGAAACATTTCTGTCTTTGAAGCGCATAATAGAAATTTGGTGGAATCATTTAAAGGTTGAATGGATCCTGTCATTTAAAAAAGATTTAAAGTGGTCTTTAATCTAAATTCAACATTGACATACTTTCATTGACCTACACGACTGTTAAAATATATAGTAGTTACATATCAAGGCAGGTTGGCAACAAAATATAAACGGAAAAAGTCGTCTATGGCAACTGGCTGATGCTGTGGGCAACACTTCAACAGAACATATAAAATAAACATAATTAAGCATTTGCATAACTAGACAAGCTAGTAACGTCAATCCACAAACATTTATCAACATTCATAGTCCCCAATATTATTCCCGCTGGGAGGCTGTGACTTGTGACATCGACTACACACACACTCGCATTTTTGTTCTTTTAAAGCCAGGAGTGATTTTTAACATACTGTAATACTATATTACAAGCAATGTGTCGTGTTTTGATTTCTTCTTTTATCTCTTAATAATGACTTTTTGTTTTTACTGTTTCTAGTTAAAAATGCCATTGTAAGTATTTACAATATAAACAAATGTCATCTCGTTTCATCAGGAAGCGTTTTATATGCATTGCTTTGTCTAAAATCTAAACGTAACGCCGACTTTGTGGATGATGCCAATGAGATGACAGACCATACTGCAAAAGAAAACGCATGAATGGAAACGTAAACTAACAATCGTCTCCTTTTAATGGTCACACTTCTGCGATATATGAAATTATGAGCTTTAGTGATCCTATTTTGGTCTACGTCAGTGCTTTACCAATGAGATTTTGCGTGGGGAGCAGTGAAATGGGGTTTTTGAGGGTGGTTGGTGGTGTGGCTTTTGGGCATGTGATGTGGGGTGAGGGTGATCTAGTTTTTCGGGCTTTCCTCAGAGCCCCGCTCATGCTGCAGGTTGTAGTAACAGTTCTGACACACACGCACAGGAGAGGAGATTTTCAGCCGCTTGATCTCTGACTGGAAGCGACTACACCTGAGGGAACAAGCAACAAAATGTCTAAAACACAAGAAGCAACTTAAAATGCATTTAGTTCATACATTATAAATATTATTGCAAATCTGTCTTACTTCTGGCAGAAGACCTGGCCACAGTTTCTGCAGTGGTGGCGCCTTTCAGTGAGAGAGAAACGCACAGCGCATCCAGAGCAGCTGTCCACCTGCTCGTCCTTCACCCAGTGGTCTGCGGTTGAGCGTCCGGGCTGATCACTGACAGACCAGCTGAACACGCGGCCACGGCTGTCGCCTACCAGGATCTTACTGTGGTCTCTGAGTACACAACAAGTGCTTGTTATCAACCGTCTTGTTTAGAGACAATTTATTTGATATCCTCTGAGCAAACACTGGCATATTAATGTTAAAGCACATTAGAAACAGAATAGAAGCCAGCTTGTCTTTTGTCCTCACTCCACCACGAACACTGAGCACCTACTTTGAAATGGCAAGTGAGGTGATTTCCGCAGGATGAGCGTTGTCCTTGCGGTCAAACGCTGTGTGCATGGTGAGTTTGCTCCGGAACACCAGCTGTCTCTCCCATCTGTAGCCTGTTTAAGAGACAAAGCTAACGGTGAAGAACATGCCAGTTGCTCCCATTAAAAACAGTATCACAGGAATCCTCCAACACAAGAGAACAGCACTTGAATGACAATGCAAATGCAAAACGTAAAAGCCATTAGGGCTGTCAAATTTTTTTTTTGAATTTCGAATATTCATCGAATTGAAAATAAAAATCCACATTCGAATGCAAAAACGTTGCATTCGAATTTTAGGTGTGCATTAAGGAGGCAGCCTTATCAGTGGCGCACCAGATGCGATGACGATGTAAGTGTCGCTGCAATCTGCATTATAATGTTTTTGTTAGCCTATCAAGTTGAAGCCACTAGATGCGGCGCTGCTGCTTTGTCCATTAAAAATATTGTGGAAAAAGAGAACATCAATGCGGAGAAGATGTTGTTTACGTCAAAACTGAAACCAAGCCGTTCACACAGAACACATATTTTGCGCATTTTCTAGAGGGAACAGATAGTCATGTTATCTTATGCTTTGAATAAACGTGCATTTAGAGGCGCCCTCTTGTGGCCTCAGAATCCAAAAGCTTTTCTTCACCCTAACTGAAATTATGCATTTTAAATTAGAATATAATTTGAATTTTGATAATATTTAAGTACAAAATTCGAATTTAGTTTTTCAGCCATTTTGACAGCCCTAAAAGCCATACTTCTGAAATCTATGAATTAAAACTACAGCACATTTTGACAAAATAAAATTCAATTCAATTCATTCAAGGATTTACAGCTCTCGCTTTGGTTTGCATCATAACTCGTGTCATGCTGACAGTTATAATATGTAATGTAAATGTATTAAATTATGATGAAATCAATTAAATTAAGAAAATTTAATTGATAAATTAGTAAATTTAATTGATAATTTAAATGATCAATTAAATTAGTAAATGTATGAAAATTATCAAAATGTTGTTTATTATTTAGCTTATTTAATACCTTAATAATACTTTCCTATCATCTTTATCAATGAATGTAATGAAATTAGATTTATTTAGGCAGTTTTGCTTTTACTGAGACGTGACAAAACAGAATCAGACAGGAAGTGAAGTGGGAGAGAGAGGGAAACGGGATTGGGAAAGATCCCTGAGCCAGGAATCGGACTCAGGTTGCCCGTAGCACAACCGACAAAAAATGTTTTCAAATAGATAAATTAAACTAAATCAGCAAATCTACTAAAATAGAATTTGATTAAATTAGAATTAATTGCATACATAAATAAATAGCAATATTAAAAAAACACTAAAATGTCACGGCAGGTTTTAATCTATTGCACCTGGTTTGAGCTTGTTGTACGACCGAGCCTCCATAGTACTGGGCTGAAGAGGCTGTGGTACTGGCCCATGTGAGGTTGCTGAGTGCGGTTGTAAATGTGGCTGCGAGGGAATTCCCGGTCTAATCTGGCCCTCTGAGTAGTTTACAAAAACAAAGCCGTCTTTCTCGTCAATACTGAGTGTGTCCGACCAGCGGCGGGAGTCGTCAGAGCCACTGTCCACCGACCAGGAGGCTCCGGTGCGAGGTTTGGGTCTGTGGACGGTACTGCTGGGCTGGCTGTTTGAGGTCCGAGGTTTAGAGTCCTGACTGAGATTGGCTTCCTCTCCTTCAGACTCACTGCTGTCATCCTCTGGAGCATCACGGCCCTCTGGAAGAACAAGACTTGAGGTTATTTAATCTGAAAAGATAATCTAAAACTCAGAAGAAATTGCTGTAATGCAAAGTGCAGGCTAAAATTGTTTAATATCAAATTGATCAAAATATTATTTATCATTTAGTTTATTTAATACTTTAACATAATCTTTTCAATATTATAGCACGAAAGACATGAAAAGGGTGCAATGGAGGGATGTTTTACCAATCTCTCCACAGCAGTCTGGCACATCGGGGGGCTCTACAGGCTCTGGAGCAGGGGTTTCTGGGACTTGGAGGAACTCAATTCTCCAGAACTACAAGAAAAAGCCATTTGTCAAGAACCGTTATCTGTTGACACTTTAAAAGACACAGAGTGAAAAGAAAGAAAGCAAATTAAGGAAAAGACCATTACCCTGACAACACCGTCGGAGTGTCCCGTAACGATAACATTCTGTGTGTCCCACTCATTCATCTCTGAGATGCAGCAGCAGAGGATTTGTTGGCTGCGGCCGGTGAAAGTGTTGGCGCTGGCGATGGGGCTTCCATTGATGCTCCACGCATGGATGTAAGTGCCAGCACAGGACACTATATCACCCTACACAAAGACACTCAGAGTTATGAGAGTCTTATCCAATTCATAGAACACTTCGGTTTTATTCGGAAGCATCAATTTATTACGAGGGCTCATAAAAAGCAAGAAATTAAACCAGGAAGCTCTTTTTTCCAAAGTAGTGATGGTCTCACTTTTTAATTAGAAATTAATTCCTTTCCAACAATTTTTCAAAGGCAAGCACATTTTTAAACAGTAAAGTGTGCTACTGTTTCTTGATGACCAGATCAAATTAAAAGTTTGAGTTGGCAAACATTTTAATTCTGCTTAAGCCAATAATAATAATAACCTATTATATTTTCATAAGTATTAAAATATATTCTTAGAATTTTTTATTGCCCTAATAAACTATAAAAAATAATTTTCCCCATAGTTTTCTGTGAGTAATGATAATAATAATTAATAATAATAGTACCAACAATAAATTATTTTTATACATATTATCATTTGCAGTGTATACACACACACACACACACACACACACACACATATATACATATATATATATATATATATAATTTTTTTATGATCATTAAAATTCTAATTTATTTTAAAAAAAATTTATTACCCCAATAAAACATACAAATGCAAAGACCATACAATGCAAAGAGTGCATATTACATGACTAAAAGGAAAATTTGATGTAGTTTAAACACAACACTCAGGTAATTCTGACATTATTGTGGGCTCACAGTAAGTTCGTTGATGCAGAGTGCGGAGACGGGAGCCCGGTGGCCCCTCAGCTGGGTGACGAAAGACAGCTTATTCAGGTCCCAAATGATGCACGTACGGTCTCGAGAGCCACTCACAATGATGTGGTAAGCTGATGACGCTGTGAGACATGTAACAGCATCTGTGTGGCCCAGAAGAGCCTGGAACCATGAAAATACATATGTTGATCAATGCATAAAACATTACAATTAAATTAAATTCGGTTATAAAGAACAAGTAGGTTTAGCAAAAAGTCTAAAGCAAAACTTAAATATATTTATCGGGTTTAAAAAGCAAATGAAGTAAAAAAATAAAAATAAAATCAAGCAAGCAAGCAACATTAAAACAAATATAAAACAAACCTGTTTGAGTGTGATGGTCTTGGCTTTCTCTTTGGAAGTCCCGGTCTCCCACACACAGATAGCGGTGCTTAATCCACCAGTGATAACCAGTTTGGGATTGGGGCAGATAGCACACAGGATCTGCCCCCACTCAGACAGGCACTCATATACTACAACCGCCTATGAGACAAACAACACATGAACATCAGACAACTGATATGGAAAACTAAATACACAGAATAAACCAAAAACACAAGATTAAACTTTGTTGTGTCTTAATTAGCTCCTAAACCATTCCCCCTCCCCCCACACCCCACACACTCCAGTTTGTGGGAACTACTACAAAAATCCTTTTAGAAGGTGGAAAGAAGAAAATAAAAGAGAAAAAAACCATAGAAACATTTCAGGTTTCCACAAAATCGGTTTTCAACATTGACAATAATAAGAAATGTTTATTGAGCACCAAATCAGCATATTAGAATGTTTACTGAAGGATATGAATGATTTCCTCTGTGACACTGTAGACTGGGATAATGGCTTCTAAAAATTACGTTTTGCTATAACAGGTAGGGCTGGGCGTTATATCGAGTTTGTACGATATATATTTTTTATAAGCGATACGGTATGAGGCAATACCGCCTATATCGATATACAGTAGTTTGATACGAGCGCATCTGAATATAATAGCAGAGGAGAAAGTGCATAATCTAGTTTGTCCTAAACATGAGACATGCTTTATATTAAGGGCTAAAAAATAACTTGTAAGATATAGTTAACATGTCTAGTTTAAAGCGGTTCGCCCCGTCAGATGCTCTGACAGACTCATGTGCTGCTGACAGAGACGCTTCTTGCGCTGTTTAATGTGTTTGGTATGCTGTTTTCCTCAGTGCATAACTTACATTTCACAGGTATATTCTCCATCTGTAAACGTTAGAAAGTCATGGAAATATTTCCATTTTGCTGTCAGGATCCTTCTGCATGCGATTCTCCGCTAAATTTCACAGACTTCAGTGAACGAGCGCCGCCGCGTGC